CAGCAAAGCTATTGTCTCCCTTTACAGTCAAACCACCACATGTATGTGCAAATACCTAAACAGAGTGTAAATAATGAAGTACACAGATGTGTATTACCATCTCATCCAAAACAACTCCTGTTGCTTCTTTCACTGCGCACATAAATGTGCACAGATGTTTGGTGTCTACAGCTCCAAATCCCTAGCTCACCACTCATATACATATGTAACATAGGAATACTATAATACTTGCAGTACGTCATGTAGAGAAAAACGAAACATGAAGCAACCTATTTCCAGGGGCCGCTGAAAGCAACTCGCATCAACCAAGGGACTTCCAATATGTGAGAAGACTTGTATCACGCTACACCGCTACAACTTAGAACAAATTGCTGTTCTGGCCTTCCAGTTTCTCAGCACTGTTTAAGCATACATACACTCATCCTGACTCATCCTACTTTGACACCAGTCAGCTGAAATGCCAAGTGGCTGCTCAGCTCTCTCTGAAGGATGCCCAAACATAGTGGCAGGATGTGAAAACATATCTTCAAAGTCAGCAGCAGCATCCTGATCCTGGGAATTCTTCCTTTTGGGAGCCTTGGGCTTCATTGGGAAATTCAACACCTGATTTCGGGACATGTCCTGGTTCTTGCTTTTCTTTCCTTTCCCCATTGCCAAGCAATCGAGCAAACGCTGCTGTAAATCTATGCACTTTCCTTGTGTTGGCCCTATCCTATCCCATGTGGTTTTTCAACTAGCTGATTGTTTTTGCGGCAATGACTCATGGACCCATGGACATGGACATTAACCCTATAGTTTGGACTATAGACACATGACACAAACAGTTTGCGTCCTGCAATAGCAAGTCTTGATCCAAAGAAGGGAACACAACAAGGCAAAGTTCAGGTTGCACAGGCTTGTCAACACAGATGCGTGTGTGGGCACTGTGCACCACGTATGTGGCGAACAGAATTCCACAGCTTTACCATATCATATTACGTGTGTAAGTTTGGTTTGTCTTCTTCTCAGTTGAACAACAAGCTCAATTTGATCTAAGGGGGATGTGTTGCTGAAGCAAAGGTTGTGCTGCTTATGCCCCAAATTGTAAAACACTGAATAATTCAACAAACGTGCCCTGGCGCCACGCCGAACACCCGCACACCGCACACCTGTGGAATGATTCAGAGCAAGAGGCTTCACACCTTGTGGCAAATGTGGTAGCAAACTTGCATGTGGACTCCACTTGCATGTGGAGTGAATCAGTTGTAAGGCGCTTGGATAGCAAGGACTTTTACATTCACACAAAAGGAAAGGAAAGCGGTTCATCCTTAATCGCAAACAAATAACTCACCACCTCAAAACTGTTTGAAGCTGCTTGTCGCACCTCCGGCACAAACTGCAGCACTGTAGCACGAATTGCAACAACCTCAGGCTGCTGGACAGGGACAACTACTGCAAAGGCGCAAGAACTTCCAGAGGGAAGTGATCCAAATGGTCGAACAAAAGTCCACTATGTCAACGATATGCAGTAATGCAGCGCATGTGGGTTCGTGTAATTCAATTGACCTTTTCTCATCTTTGTTCAGCAACAGTCTAAATGAGCCTGAGTCTAAATGGTTGGTTGGTTGTGGAAACAAAACCAATTCGAAAGGCGCTGAGGCACTCAGGTTGGGGTAAGTCAGTTGGCACAATTGGCTTCATACACCTGTGGAATTGTTCAGAGCAAGAGGCTTCACAGGCTTCATATTCACGCCCCACTGAACCATTTGTGGCACATCTATTGGGGACCAACAGCTATGAAAGAGTCCAGTGACACTTGCAGCAAATGTGACATTTGTAGATGTAGATGTAGACGCTGTTGCCCACTCTTGGGCTAGCAAGCACTCTGAATCTCACGTCTCACATAAAGAAACTGCCACACTGCTATTCTAGGTTGATTCATTGTTGTTTCAAACCGTTTGGATCTGATCAACCCCAAACAATCCCTTGGTACCAGGGGCCCCCAGCACAGAATGTAGCACAAGTTGCAAGCACCTTGGCATGCGGAAATGCTCAATGTTCTGAAGTTCCCAAGTTCAGGTGGATTCTGGATTCGGAAGTTAGGTTGGCTTCTTCTCATTCAGTGACATCACAATCAAAGGTCGATTGGGGTCCACAGAGAATCACTGACTGTAGACTGTGAAACACATCCAGTACACATTGCGCACGCACTCAGGCAAAGTTAACACACATTCCCTGACACCGTGCCTGTGGAATCTTTCAGAGCAAGAGGCTTCGCATGCCCCACACACGCTTTTTGTGGGACCTGGGACATGAAAGGCCCACGTTAAGCAAATGTCCAATGAGTCAAACGAGTAGTTGTAGTTGTAGCTTCTGTGGCCCACTTATAAGCTAGCAATCTCTCTCTCTCTCTGACTCTTATGCTCTCCTGCACTCTCACTCTTACATTTACAAATTACAAAGGACTTGTCATGCATCTTCATGAGAAGTGAGTGGTGAGTAACTCAAACCTCAAGCCTTTAGCTGTTTGAATCTGATTTTGTCACTCCGGGCGCAAGGCCCGTAGTACGAATTGCAAACACCTCAGGCCGCAGGCTGGTGGACAGGTGCAATTATAAAACTATATAAGGCCCATATAAGGCTTATATTATAAGTGCAAGAGATGAAGCCATCATCCATCCATATCATATTCAAATGTCAAATGTTCAACATATGGAATTCATGCGGATTCGTGAAGTTAGGTTGTTTTCTTCTTGTTCAGTAACATTCTTGATGGGTTTTGAAACAAAAGCAATTTACACACGCTAGTCGCTATGTGACCAGTCAGCGAACTTTCCCTGACTCTGCACCTGTGGAATTGTTCGGAGCAATAAGCCGCCCCACACCTTTGGTGTCAAATGTGGGCACAAACAGGCAAACAGCCATGAAACAGTCCACTCCACTTTCCACTTTGTAGAAACCCACTGAAGCAACTTTGTAGAAACCCACTGAAGTCAGCAAGTGCAGTGAATCACACATGTGCACTGCACATGAACTGAACTGCTGTTCCTTCCATCCGATTCATTTTGATTGCAACAAAGGTTTTATTGGCAAACACTGCAGCAATGATTCAAAACATTCTCTGTTTGAAGCTGCTCTGGGAGCCCCCCACACAAGAATGAACCACGAATTGGAGGCACCTCAGGCCGCTGGACAAGAACAACTACAAAAGGCGAAGGCTCTCGCTGTGACAACCTGCCACCTTAATCTCAGTGACTCAGGTGAACTTTGTTGCAGCAATGTCATGCACTAACACCAT